AATTTGACGATACCCATCATATTCCACCAGCGAAAAATCTGATTCCAAACACTGAGAATTTACTTGCATCTAACAAAGCAATGGTCAATCGATTCCATGTTACAATCACACCGAGGGCAGAGCGTCGAATGGAGCTCAATCCCTAAACCATCTAACACCTCACGAACAGGAAGACGCTTTAGACGAAGACACCAAGTGAATATGATAGTTTTTTCATGAACAAATCTTAGAAACAATCAGATATTTATAGTAGACGATAAAGTTTTTAAAAAAAATTTAATAATAGAGTTCTTTCTTCTAATCACATATATTTATTTGCTTATAAATTTAATTTTTGCTTATAATCAATGCATATTTTAGATATTTGATTTTTATTATATCAATAATTACAAATAAATAAATAAAAACTATTTTGAAATAATTTAAAATGGTAATGAGTCGTATGTATTTTGAGATTTAAAAAAATATAAAATCATTTAACTCAACCAAGGAGCGAAAGTGACCCACGGAATATATAATCATCAACTCAAGGAAAAATCATACGCATATGCTATCAACACCATACACGTGTACGGATATCATCCCTCCAATGCTCTATAAATAACTCCCCATGATCACACAATAAAATCACCCGGCTTAAACGAATTCATTTGTGTATTTACCAAATTAACCTCAAAACCTTCGAATCATGTCTTGCTCAAGCGGAAAGTGCAACTGTGGCTCAAGCTGCTCATGCGGCAGCAGCTGCAACTGCAACTCGTAATTTCTTCAACCTTTTTTTTCTTTCTTTTTTCTTCTAAAAAATTGTTTATTTTTTCCAATTATTTCTTGAAATTTTCTATTTCTGAATCGGGTTTTATTTGTTTTTTGGACAGAGCCGACATTGAGAGGTCGACCACCACCACAATGATCGTGGACGGTGTTGCACCCCAGATGACGTACGTATCTCTACTACTCCAATTTGATGCATAGATAGATCGTGCCATGAAATGAATAAATGTGTGGAGTCTTACATCACCTACACACACAGATCAACAAACATCTTCATATGTCGGAATCTCCTCTCTTTATAAGAGTTCTTTTAAGATTAGGTTCAAAGGGTTCCACATATCTTAACAWAATATCAGAGACAGACATACAGGGTTTATCATATCTTGGAACTTAATCGACACACTACTTCTCCTCTGGGCCCGTCTAGCGTCCATTTGAATAGGTCTTCCCCCCTTGGATCCACGATGTAGACAAGTAGGAAATTCTAGAAATCTTTCCCCCTTTTTGTTTATGGATAGAAAGAGTATCCCCTTAGGAGAGTATTTTATGTCTTCTTTAAAAGGGCTCATCTTAAAGATAGATTTAAATGGATTCCACATATTCTAATAAAACCGCTGATATGAGATTGCAAAATTGCAGATATGCCGAGGGAACCGAGACCAGCTTCGCTGTCGAGGGTGGAAACGGATGCAAGTGCGGTGGAAACTGC